ATTTACGCGAGTTTTTGGAAATGAAATGCAAATATCCAAGGCCATTAGATTTAAGCCTTGACGTGACAGTCGTCCAACCAAACCAAACAAAACAAATCCGGTGCAAGTCCTGTGAATCGTGGAGGGCCATCCATGGCGGGAGAACCCACCCCTGCGGCAACAGTGTTGCAGTCAAATTAAAGAAAGGTTAGACGGGTCATCGTCCTTCCTCACCCGTCAACAGCCATGAAAATTGCTGGACCATATATACATAGTTACATATATATTTCAGAAAGTGATGGGTGACGAAGAGTGTACGGGCCATCATAATAAGCCCACCAAACTTCGACATGCACCACCACCTCCATATCCATATAAAAGCCACCTGTGATCCAATGTTGATGACTTGTGCTTTGACTTCCTTTTATCCATAATTTTTATAGTAGTGATAAAAAAAATCAAATTGATTTTATTATGGTAATAATTAGTGATTTACATTAAAAATTATTTTTTATTATAAGAATACAATTTTCCTTTAAAATAATAACATTAAGTAGGTAAGTGTAGAATAAACTAATTTTTAGTCAAGAGGCAGGCCAATTTATATATGTTAAACTAACACTTAGCGAGGAATTAATTGGCTGAGATTTTGGACGTACGGTGATAATTTGGGTCATGAGGCAATATACTTGAATACGTGTTGACAGAAATGAAGAAAGAAGTGATCACTCTCCCATTACCATTTCAGGATATAAATGGAGAAGGAATCAGGAGGTGGATTTGGTTGCTGATAATGGGAGATTGACAAGTCATCTTGAATTTTGTCATCTGAAAGTGAAAGTGGAAGGTTAAGTGATACAATTAATATTTATTTTGGATGGGTTAAATCAAATCTTCACTCATCATCTTCCATTCTCACAACAATCATCCAATCCAACCCTATAGGGGTTGACTCAATAATAGTAATTCTGGCCTTTTGCTTTGCTTTGCTACTCTCTGATAGTTTTCGAAACAATCCAACGAAATTATTGGTTGGACATTTGCTCACTCCCATTGGCTAATGTTGCCTTATGCATGCATGCTTGAAGGAGTTTGAAGATAGATTTCTACTCCACCTGATGCACACTGTAGAATTAATATATATTTCAAAAAGTAGCAAGCATTCTTCAAGAGGATCATATAAATTAATCAAGCAAAATTCTTGCATTGCCAATTACGTTCTAATACAGAAAAAAAAAAGAAAAAAATAAATAAATATAAGCTGACTTATAACCTGTAATTGGACACACATTAGACTTGCAAGAAACCAATACTAAAAGTCAATGCATTAACAGCACTAGTACAGTAGAATTGGAACGAGGATAATCACGCATGCACCACCCCGATTGCGCTTCTATATAATGGTAATGGTGGGAATGAAATTAATCATGATGATGATATATATGAATATGTTAGTGGCACTGGTTTGTAATGCTACTAATATCATCTTTAAAGCTCCCCAAATATGTGTAAACCCTCCTACCTACATGGGATCGATTAAGTAATAAAAATTTATATTCAGTCGTCTCTTAGATCACAGTTTTTTTTTAATAAAATTACAAATACAAATAAAAATTTAAATCAAAATTAACTAAAATATAAAATCAATGTGTAAATTATACAATAAGTTATTGAATTTTCATTTAAATCGTCGAGTTATGATTTATCAGTCGTTTTTTAAATCACAATTTTTTTTAATAAAATTACAAATACAAATTAAAATTTAAATCAAAATTGACTAGAATATAAAATCAATGAGTAAATTACACACAAAGTTATTTTACTTTCATTTTATTTTCATTTGAATCGTCGGGTTATAATTTATTTCAATAGGGTTATTAAACTTTAATTTGTAAATCAAATCTAGTTTCCCTAACAAAATCTATCCAAATAAATTATGGAAAATGACGTGGTAGTCATGTAATATGCCTATTCTATTAAGAGGACTACATTTGGTACACAAATAAAGTGATTTTATCGAGAGAAATGAAAGTTTAATAAGCCAAATGAGTATTGAGTGAAAGTTCATTAATGACTTTGGGTGTAATTTACTCTAAAAGCAATATAATAAACAAACAAATAGATTTTGTCAACAAAGTTACAGCTAGACCAAATTCAACATTGAATTCGATCAAATGGAATCTGATACAATGTGAAGGGTATCAAGCCACTGAGAAAACACCTCGTTGGTTTCTTGAATCAAGTTCAGACTATAAAGTAGGTTGGCATCGAGATGAGAAGCACCTAATTGTTATTATTATGATAAATTGTTAGCATTGGTACATTGAACAAGGATTGGAATACAGAATAAGTAAAATATTTACAGATGCACTCGATGAAGATGGAAGACTTGAGTGAGCAGTGGTAAACACATGCATGGCAAATGCTAAAGGTAATTAAATGGTGAAAGGAAAAATGGAATTGGGGATTGTATAATTAATAATAGACTAAACACTACGTAAGGAAGGCTAGCAGTGCATCCACTTTGTGTGGAAGTGTATGGGCTCTGACTCCAACCCCACTTTTGTGGTTAACCCTTGCTTCCTTGCTTAATGCAGACCCCGGCGGTTGGTTTACTCCCTCGCTTTTATTTGATCATCAATATTTTCACTGGCACATTCCTCTTCTGGACCACATCATCACAACCCTTTTTGTGATATTTTCACTGGCACATTCCTCTTCTGGACCACATCATCACAACCCTTTTTGTGCTCTCTGACGACACCCGCACCCACATTTTTGCTGCATAAGTAGAGGGTTTAAGGTTTCTGCTCTCATCTCATCTCATCTATTCTCTCTTTATATATATATCAACCTAATCTTGGTTGTTGGTTGTTATCGTTTGCTTTTGCTTTACATTGCAAGGTCTTTTTGTAAGTACCATCCTTCCTTTCTCTAACCTATTAATGTTTGCAGGGTTATTCATTTTGCATTTTTCTTTGGATTGTGCTTTATTTCGTTTTCCATTTTCTATATTTTATATATATATATATATATATATACACGCGTGTGTGCATGCATCGCTTGACAGTGGGGCTGCCCTGCCATGGTTGTTTATGAATAGCTTTCTGTTATATCTTCATGTTTTAATTCAACACAATTATGATCATGTTTCTCAAACTAGCTATTCATAAATGATATATTTCTACTAGTATATATGTGCAAGAATAATGTTTATTCTATTGTTAATTTGATCACAACAGTAATCTTAATTTATCATGCATGTATAATTAGTACAGGGAATTGTGAGTTTCATGTAATTAATTTTTTATGCAATATTGTGTTTGTTCAAGTGATGTTATATTGCTTACGTTTTGGATTTATTTTGATTTTATATTCAAATCAATTCTCTCCATGCATTCTTAATTAACTGATTTTAAATCAGATGTTAATACAAAATTAAAATTAAAATTTATCATGGTACTTGTTGTTCTTGTGTTCATATCCCTTATAATTTGCTTTTCCAAGTGTCAAGGCCATATGCCTATAACTAACGTGTAAGTTTACCACAGTTAAGTTTCAGATTTATATAATTTTAAAAAAAAGTTTTCGAATTTATATTTTGATGCATTTATATTTGTATATAAATATTATATTTTATCAGTACATTATAAATCTTCATATCATTATTTAATTTCAACATAATTACATATTTATTTTTAAAAATTTTAAATTTTTTATAATTATATAATAATTTATGATATACGGATAATGTATATCTCTACTCCCTAATCTTGCATTTGACTTGGTTGACTAATTATTTGCAATTGATTTATACTATATGCATGCCACGTGCTGAAAACTTAGCAAAAAGTGAATTATATATCTAATCTACCCGTCACTTCTTTTCATAGTTGGCCCCTTTCGGCCTTCAAATTATTGTACCTTCGAACACTTCATTGACTAAGAAAATAAATTAAGTGATCGGAGATCCTCTTGGAAAAAGCAAAACAAATAATCCACTCCATATAGAATCAGTTCAATGATAAAATTTCGCATCCATTCAAGAATTTTGTGAACGTGGATGATGGGTTAAAGACTTAAAAGAATAAAACCCGTTCAACTGTCAGTTGAGAGGAGAAGCACAGTATAGTAGTTAAAGCAGTTCAAACACTGCACTAAAATGATCTGATCAGATGCTGTGTTCTTTTGTTGCCGACATATAGCACATTTCTTGCTCTTTGCAGGCCACAGCCTCCAAAGAGAGGTTGCTAATTTTGTGCCCATCTATATATATATATATTTAACATCTTTCATTATCCTTTTGAGATCTCTTCCTTTATTCCAAGAGTATTATTTGTGTTGTTAGGATAACTTGTTTTGAGCACACAGTTTTTGTTTGCTTGGCATTGGATCTATTCTCCTCCTTATCTTTCACGCAATGCTATCAAAATTAAGTTTAATCAATTGTCTTTTTGTTTGATGAGTACAACAAATGGCAAGAATATGCACTCAAATTGTAAGGTTGGGAAATTAAATAATTTGATCTTAAATTATGTCTGGGTTTGGAAATAACATCTTCTTCCATTGGATTCTTTGTTTAGTTGAAGAAAAAACAAACAAACAACAGCCATTGGCACCGTCGCTTTTTGGTTTTAATATGATATCTATGGCTATTAATTTCATTCCCAAGCCACTTATTGAAGCTTGCTTATGCACCTTTGCTTCTGAAATTAGCCAAAAATGCAAGACCAGAAGTCAACCAATAATAGCTTTTTATAATTCGATTGGTGCAAACTCAAGTACGTGGCAGACAAGGCCTTGTTGTTTGGGCAAAAGTGCCAGGAAGATGAATATATTTTCCACAAAAGCTGCCATTTTTCCTTCCTATAGCTAGCTTAAAATTACACAAGAATATAATATTCTTCTAGATGTGGACTTAAACTTCCTGCCCGCAGCTTACGTTAATTCCATTGCCATCATCTAATGATGGCTGCCAAGTGCTCGTCTTGCCTTCTATTAACTATATAAAACTAGCCAACCCTGACCAAATCCCTCAACTCCATTGTCTCGTTCTCTTTGGCAATTCGTGTGCCAAGAAATACACTAGTAATGGTGATTGCCCTTTTTATCTCTCCTTTTGATCCATTTGTTTTCTATTTATTAGTTAATGATTAAATGGGGGTTTTTTTTTTTTGGGTGGGGGGGGGTGCGCTAGGGCTTCCTGTTTATTGAGGTGAGAGATATATGCGCCAATAGCTAAGCCAAATATTCGAAATTCCACTAAGATAAAAACAATATTTTTCTATCCATTTTATCCAAGCAGTTAGTATAGCAATGAAATAATCTACTAATTGTTATATAGCTGGTTGACATCTTTAATTTTCTCCTTCATCTCTCTTAATTTGCCTATGATTAGCTTAAGGCCATTAGAGGCTTGCTGTTAATTATGATATAGATGCTATAAAACAATAACATAAATATGCTATGAAGTATATATTTTATTTATAAAAATTTTCTTCTTTAAATTATAATTTCTCGTTCCAATTATAACTGAGACATATATTTTGCATTTGGGTTTTGATTCGTAGGAACAGCATATGATTTCAGCAATGGTGAAGCGGGTGCGAGAGATGTTCATATTTTTCTTCTTAGCAATATTTTCCAAGGCAATTGGTACAAAGCCCTACTGGAAAACGATCGCACCAGCTGACAGTGGCTCTAACCAGTGCTTGAGTTGGCGCCTGGCGGTGGAGGCTAACAATGTCCGGGGGTGGCGCACCGTCCCGATTCATTGCCTTGGCTACATTGAAAATTACATGCTTGGCGGGCAATACGAGCAGGATGTTAACTATATCGTGGAACAAATACAGAGTTACATTACTGATCTAGTTGTGGCTGACGATGGCATGGATGCATGGATCCTGGATGTTGATGACACCTGCCTCTCAAATATCTTTTACTACAAGGGAAAGAAATACGGGTAAACAACTGATTTGCTCAACAGATATTCCTTCCTAGCTAATATACTTTCAACTTAATTTGTGAGCCATTTTGTAGGTGTGATCCTTATGATCCTTCAGGTTTCAAGGCATGGGCAATGAAGGGAGGGTGTCCAGCGATTCCTGCAGTCCTTGGACTGTTTACCAAGCTGGTCGAAGGTGGATTTAAGGTGTTCCTGGTCACTGGGAGGGATGAAGAGACCTTAGCCCCTGCTACCATTGCCAATTTGCATAACCAAGGATTCATTGACTATGAAAGGTTGATTTTTAGGTAAGATGTTCATTGGAATTGGCACGCCAGCTTTTACTTTTCTTCTGATCTTATATATTCATGTGGAGTACTAATTTCTTGGCAAGAATTAATCTCCTTATTTCTGGAGAAATTTCCAGGAAACAAACTTAAACTTTCCTTGAAACCATAATAGAAGATCAATTAGATTGAATAGTTGCAAACAAATTATATTATTAATTAATTAATACTTGTTCCAATTAGCATATATAATTGTCAGATGCTATTTACAACTTTTGAATCATAAATTACAAAATAGAACGCTGCTTAGTATAGGGGTGGAAAATTAGTGTCAGAGTCAACATCCACGCAAGTCTTAGTTATATTAATTTGGAGTTATCAGGCACCCAAATGTCATACATAAGACGCACCGAATCCAGCCATTTGAGAATCAGGTCCCTCTTCATCCTCAGCTGTCCGACCACGCAACTTGACATTGACATATAGTGACCTGCCTCCCCTTGCTACCCACCTGTCCAATCTTGAAATCGGAGTCAGTGTGTAGTTTTTCATGATTTGCTTTATCTTATTAAAGACGTTAAACAAGTAAATGTGATGAAGTTTGAGGATACTGAGTTTGTTTTTCTGTTTGAAATGAACAGGACCCAACCTTTCAAAGGGAAAAGTGCAGTGGTTTTCAAGTCAGAAATCCGAAAGCAATTAATGGAAGAAGGGTACAGGATATGGGGGAATGTTGGTGACCAATGGACGGATTTGCAAGGAGAATGTTTGGGCAACCGAACTTTCAAACTCCCTAATCCAATGTATTGTGTTCCTTAATAGAACAAAAACAATATGGGATGCCTCTGCATCTGCTTATGCAATCAACTTGTCAATTGGCTTTCTTTACTTGAATCGTTTAGACAACCACATAACCCAAGCCAAGCAGCAATGGCCAATGGACTTCTTCATATTTACTTGTTCACCAAAATCTCAACAAAAGTCAATCACGTGTAATCATTGCCCACAATGAATTAATGTAACCATATATGGAATGGAATTAAAGGGTGTCCAGCAATACTCACTTGACTTGCTATTTTCAAATAAAAGAAAAAAAATTAGCCATACTGATTGGTTGGTTGGTGAGAAAAAAATAATAAATTACTTGAAAAATGGAAATGTGGAATTACCCACGGTTGGTGCATAGAATAATAAAACAAAAATTATTTCCTTTTCAATTTTCTTAATAAATAAATTAAAATATCATTTAAGGTCCAAAACCGAAATAAAGTTAGCAAGAAATTTCGCCATAGACAGAGGAGGGAAGCGGTTCTATTACCAGTGTTTGACATGCACGCCTGGATGTTGCTTTCAGAGAGAATTAAACTACCTCAGCTTTCTTTCTTTCCATTTTTATTGAGACGGTGGCCTCTGGGCTGCTAAGTTTGGGTAAAATCAGCATAATCTACTTAGTCAAAGAGGCCATGGTCAACAAATCCAGGCTGAACATACAACATATAGCACATTGCTTTACCATTATGAAAAAATAAATGCCATTGCCATTAATTGCCTCCTCAAGAAAGGTATGTATATACATTCAGAAATCACAAACGTCAGGTCCTACTTTCCTACCGTTAATTCAACACAACAAAGGTCAAATTAAGTTTCAAGAGACAGAATACCTTCGACTCCTTCCGGTTTTGGCGTCCGATCCCCGAGACTTCCGGCCTGTTTTTTGCCCTTTCCCTCCACCCGCCCCGCTAAATATCCCAATCCTTCCAATTCCTTTAGATAGAGAGGTCAAGAAAGTTTTTCCATTTCCTGATTTATCCATCAACCCCCGTTTCATGAACATCTGCTCTTTCTCCAACTCGCTCACTCTAACTCTCATTCTTGATATCTCAAGCTTAAGTTCTCGGTTTTCCCTTCTTAGAGATGCATAATTATCTCGTGGTGACATGGCTGCACTAGGGACACCACTGCTTACTTTCTGGGACAGGAATCCATCTCCGGAGCTTCCACACAAGGCATTCTTCAATCGAAGCTGCTCAAAGTATAGGACTCGAACCGCCATCTGTACAGGGAGTCGCTCATTCTGTGCAGCATGATTGCTGGCTTCTTGAGAGAGTTTCTGGCAGTCTATTAATTTGCAGAGCTTTTTACACTCAGGATCACTTAGCATTGGATGAGCCTAATCGAAACCAATAAAAATCAAGTCAATGCCTAGAATACATGTATAACATTTCAGCGCTAATATTCATCCAGATGTTATTCTTACAATTAAAATTTAAAATGAGCAAATATAACATTAATCCATGGGATTAAACAAAACAAGGTCATCTTTTGACATCATAAACACACGTTGCCAAAGGAGACCCAAATTTTCTTTTAGAATCAAACACACGATCTTTCAAACCCCAGATAAAAGAAAATATAAGAATTGGCAGGCAATGAAGTTCCCATTGGGAAAGGGCACAGAAATAACCCCATTTCTGAGGAAACTGAACCAATAGAATAAGAATATTTAAGCAATTGAAGAAAAAAAAAAAAAAACCCCTGGATGGAAAACAGCCAAGATTTTTTTTTTATTTGTGATATGGTCCGTTGGAGCATAGAATGTAGGTCAATATATACCTTCAGTTCTAAAATAGACAACGAACATTCTGCTCATAGATTCTGACTATATGCTTGAAAGGTATCTCAACCACAAAAGGACACCATAGGTACAAGATATTAAAATGAGAGAAAATACCCATAACTTTGAACAACATATGCCCTTTAGTTAAAGGAAAACATAGAATAATTTCCAAGATATAATGAGTTTATATTGAATTGTGAAAGGAAAATTACCTTCAAGTATATATCAATTGCTCTATAAAGACCGTCATCAATAACTCGAGCATAATCTGGTAATATTTCTATCATAGCAATGAATTTCTGCAAACTCAAATAAGGATCAGGAGCAATTTCTGCTAAATATGTGTCAATAAGTCGTCCCACCTTCAACAAAGAACCATGGCCCAGAGAACCAAGGCCATCTGACGCATTCTCACAATCTTCATTTTCTTCATCTTCAATCCGCTGCAGAAAATTTACAAGTATCCTGTGGACAGTATCGACATCAAACAGAGAATCTCCAGTCCGGAGAGATGGTATAAGTAAATCATCAATTGAAACCATTTCTAATCGAAAAGCTATCCTCCTCTCAAGCTCAAGCCTGCAGGCTATGGTAGCTTCCACCATAATTGCCATCCTAAGCATCCCAAACAGGAAAGTCAATGGAACAGAAGAGCTCTTCTCCGTTGGCAAAAGATTTACAAGGATTTCAACAATTGTTTTCTGGTCATTTTCTCCCATGCCAGGATTTGCCTTTATTCGTACTGGATTCCAAATCTGGCATTTTCCAATATCTTTCAATGATGCTTGAGCATAATGCATCAATGATTCAACAATACTGTCTGGTCTAACACCTATTCTTCCCATGGCACAGATAACCTTCTGATAATAATCAATCCTTAGAACTGAAAGATCCTCAATCCACCACTCCAGACATCCACTCTTAAGCTCTGTAGATTCACCATCACAGTCTAACCGAGACAAACCTGACACCAACTGCTCTTTGCATGCATTCATGGCAATAGCCTCCACACATCTATTTGAAATTCCCACTTCCTCTGCTATTGGTGGTAGTGTCTCACAAGTACAAAGGACTTCCACAGACTTCTCAAGACTTAGAACTACAACCTCATTCAAGTAAACCTCTGTTCGTGCAATAAGATTTTCTTCCCGGTAGTCTTCTGTCATTTCCAAATATTCTGCAGCACAGCGCAGGAAGGCAACGTTTGCGGTTGTGATCTCAAAGTTCATGCCATAGCAAAATTTCATGGCAAGTTCAAATGTCTGAGGTCCACCTGGAAAGTTGAGGAGCTCCAATTTTGAAGTATTATGATCCTTACCATCAGCAACCATTTTCCGGATCTTTCCACTTCGAGATACCAATGGAAACTTGAGAGTACCAAAACAAAAAACATGCTTCAATTAATTTGAAGTACTTAAGAAATGTGAAATTCACATATTCTTTCTGTGCAAGGCAAAAATTAAGCCCATTATTTCAATCACTAACCGAATACAGTTGCAATTGCCAATGCATATCTACCCTCATATACAACTAATTACAGAGTAAACACATTCAAGCTTGGTGTAGCAAAATAAAGCTATGTTTTGAATTGTGCAGGGATGCATGGTCATAAGGTGGTTAATTCTTTTTTTACTTTTACCTTTTACCAATTTGGATTGAAAGATCTGATTCCCCATTCCTTCTGTTAAACTTCAATGATATCAAATCAAAAACAACAGCTAAACATTAAATACCAAAGTGCTTTATTGAAATTATAAACTTGAACAATAAATATGAAATAGAACTCATTATAATGTACAAACAGAATGACTAAAAGATTTTGAAAGAAAAGCTTACCTTATGCAGTAGAAAGGACTCTCCACCAACAGCAATTGTAATATCCCCTGCAACATCTGAAAAGATTCTGCATGAAGAGCTTGAAGTCAGGAATGCCAAATAGGGTAAAAGTATACTATTAAACAATATTGCACCAGAAAGAATTTTAGGCCAAGTAGCACAACCACAGAATTGGAACCATATAAAAGCCTAATATTCCATTGATGGTTCCTTATGGACAATAATATGCAGGCTGATAATATGAACCCTTGTTTCCATTTCCTTCATTTTCCATGACTTGATAGACATTTTTGTTTATTACTAGTATTTGGACAGTAAGAGTAACAGTAAGAATTACAAATTTTGGTTGGTGTTGAGGTTTATAACAAATTTGGCTTTGTATTTGATTAGCCAGTTGTTTCAACTTTTTCAACAGCAAAGAAATCATCGCCAGCTTCATTCTCCATCTCGAAAGCGAGATCATTGTCTTCACTCTCAATTAGGGAAAGTAGAGAGCCTAAGGAAAACTCAATCAAACAGAATCTTATACAAAAAAAAAAAAAAAATCCTAGCTATTAATAACTGTAAAAAAATCGTATTTAATTAAATCCCAAGTCCAACATAACATTTGAGTAATGAGCTGATCTTAATCTAAAAAGAAACGTATGAAGAAGACAAGGGATCTCCTTATTATAATGCAAATCCTTAACATAAAACAAAAAGGAAATGTTTTAGTACCTAAAACGATTTTTATATATAACCACAGAAAGCAAATGTACTAATCATTAAGAAAAGAAAGAAAGAACCAAATTATAGTCCAAGAAACATGATCAATGTTTGCCAGGTCAAGCAGTAAGATGATAATGCATGAGGGTGTTGGTGCTAAGACTTAAAAGAGGAATAATTAGTAAGTAAAGATTACCGAGTGGTGAAGGAGTTGGCAAACTTGGGAGCTGGGGAAAGATTAGAAGAAGAGAGGGAAGTGTTGTCTGAGACCATTTTGTGTCCTTTAGCTTTTTCTTGGTTGACGTTTGATTTTCAGGTCCAAAGCAGAGCAGAGTGCAGAGCCATTTGCAGGCAGGAATATGGGAATGATGGTTGATGGCAGAGTAAGATGTACTACATACTTGTGTCTTATATGATTGTGATCTATGAACATAACTGATACGAAAAGGGTACTGGTTTGCCTCAGTTTACGCAAATAGCCTCCTGGTGAGTGAGGATTTTCTAGACGCAACCTTTATCTTTCTCACCTTTTCATAATAAATTTAAACAAAACAAAATCAACAGTGTTTGAGTGGAATGGAACAGGCAGCCCAAGCCACGCCAACAATCCATATTCTCTTTTGCTTTTCTAAAAGGACTAAAGAGGTATGACTGCTGACTCACTCACGCCATTCTTAAAAGCCGAAACAAATTATCAGTTTCCAAGTTCAAGGGCTGCAGCCTGCGCCATGTTAAGTGACTGACACCTAATTAAATCTCGGTGAATTTATATCATATTAAAATTTATATATTTATATTATATTTTATATAAAAATTATATATTAAAATTTATATCAATAAAAAATATAAAATATATATTTTTAATTTTGTTACACCATATATATTTATTATAAAAATTTTAAGTTATCATTTTAATATTTTTATTTTATTTATATTATATTAATATTATGTTTAAATATATTAAAACCTTTAACCCTATTGCATATATGTGTCATGTCATTTTTATGTTATTTTTAAGTTTAAAAATGTATACTTAAACCCTTATACCTTATTATATATTGGATTAAAAAATACATTAAACATATAAATTATTTTAAACTCACAATCTTTAAATATCAAATCTAATAATTAATTTAAAATATAATTTACATTACTTTTTTCTTTTCTTTTTCTATATTATTTTTTTATTTTTTAGAAACAAACTCAAAACACTGCCAAAGTTAGTAGGCAAAGGCATTGTAATTAATATAGATAAAATATAATATAATAACTTTCAATCATTCAATTCAATAATTGATTTAGTGGCTAGAGATATTAAGAATTTGATTTTGAATCAACTTTCTTTTTTCTTTTTATTTGTATTAAGGTTTTATTTTCTTGATATAATAAAAAAATTCAATAATTAATGTGGGATTCATATTCAAATATAAATTAAAATTCACTTTTTGATTTCTTTTAATATTACTATGAAATCATGTTATTTATCTTTTAATTCGTTGCTTTTATACCAATAAATATTTTAGTTAAATGATCCGCCTAACACGAAAATCTCATAAATTTAATATTATCATTTTTTTCAAAATATTAATTATTTAACCAAAAAATAATATATAACAAAAGAGGAACTAAGGTTTCCCTTTCTTTATCAATAAATATAATTTCTTTTATATATAATTACATATGTACAAAAAAAAATCATATCCCATCTTAAAATTATATTTTTATTTTCTAAAATTCAAAACCAAAATCTTAAAAATAGAGTACGAAGTTTTTACCAGCTGCAACATTGATTAGAAATGATTTTGTAAAGTTTTTTCGAAAAAAAAAAAAAGAAATGATTTTATAAAGCTGGTCATTGATCAAAATCAACGGCCACAACAGTATCTTTTTACTTTTAGTCAAAAAAAAAAAAAGAAAAGAAAGTGAAAGGTTCACATGTGGTGTGGAAGTGGAGGGCCCGGGAATTTGGATGGCAGTTTAGTAAATAGAAGAAAATCCATGACGAGAGTTGAAGATGAGTGGATGCGACAGGAGTGGCACGGAACTCTATAAAGACGCTATTATTACAAACAAGTACATTTGCATTTTTTATTTTTATATTCATTTCCATCAATTATTTGTTCCTACCACTAGTATTTTTTTTTATAGTAAACAAAAATAAATTTTCCAAAAATTAAAAACCATGAATTTCTGCCAAAGAAATTTTGCTTAATTCCCTATCCTCCAATAATTTACATTATCAGGTCTGATATTGATATGTTCAAGATGGACGTATTTATGAATCAGGTTTAAATTTGGGTAGGAGCAAGACCTAGACATGGTCTTATTACTATACATATCTTTTAAATTCATTCGATAATTAAGACTTCATATATATTATATTATTGTATTTAGTAATTAAATATTATTATATTGAATATTATTAAAAATTAAAAATTATTTTATTTAAAAGAACGAAAATATTCATATATATTATAATGATTATATATCACAAATTAATGATTTTAATGTTATTTAAAGATAATAATTTACAAAAATTAATATTATTTTATTTTATTTTATAATAAAATATAATTAAATTATTGAATTAAAAATATATTTATTAATAGGTAAATTAATTTTATAATATAAATTATGTAAAAAATATTTGAATTAAAAAATAAAATTAATCTATTAAATTCATAATAAAAATAAAATAAAATAAAATATTATATTATATTAAATATTTAAAAAACACAAATTAATTTTGAATTCATTATAATAAATATTAATTTTAAAATATAAAATTTTATAATAAAAATAATTATAATTTTAAAAGAAGTCAAATTTTCATTAACATATTAAATAAATAATATTAATTACTATTTGATAAAAAGTTTCTCATTCTTTTAAATAAGAATTAAATGACTCTCCATAAAAATGATTTGATCATTTTTAATAATCAAAGACTGTTATCACATAAAATCAAAAAATGCTTATAAAATATAATAATTTAATCATCATACATAAAATTTTATAATTTTAAAAATGATCATTTGTACCAAACACTATTTTAAAAATTTATTAATATATAAACTATCAAATCAAATCAAACATGATCCTAAATAAGAAATCCAAATAAATCTAAAACATGATTTTTTTGCAAAAATCAAAATGAAAGACTAAATGTGTTTTTATGCAATGAAATTAAAATAAAATCCTAAACCAATATAAATCCATAATTAATCATAAAAATTAAAAATATAAAAAATAAGACATTAGTAATATAAAATAAATTTTATTAGTATAATGTTATATTTTTAATTTTAATGATTAAGAATCAAATTTGATAACTTCAAATAAAAAAAATACATTCTAATTATTCTTGGTGCATTGCCCCAATTTGATATTCCCTTTTTTATTTGCTTATAGCCAACTGCAATCAAATTAGGGATAGGCAGGGGCTCAACATAAAACTAAAAAACAAGAAGGAAAAAAAGGTAATATAGAAGAAATGTTTGACTGGGAGATGATACTTGGCATCTGCGGTGTCTATGTCTCTATGAGGATGTCGAGTCGACCAGGATAAGCAGAAAGTGTCCTAACTATACACCACCAAGCACAAATAAACATAAACAAAAAGAAATGCTTACTCACAACGTTGCTACGCCGTCTTCTCTGTAAGAACTCAGTTTCAAAAGATTCTCAATTTTTTTTCCTAATCTTTTTATTTGATGGTGTTTCATTTGTTCTTTTGCAGATGCCCAATTGTTTCCTATGATTGTTATCGCCAAGTATCTAATCGGTTGTTATTTCCTCACAATCTAAATCATGAGATTTGGAGGGGTATTTACTTTTGCCCCATCTCTGGTTTTCTTTTCTTTTATGGTTCCAAAGGTCTTAAAGCTGCTTGTTTTATTATTTACACTAAGTTAATGGAAAACTACTTGTTCGTTCCTTTTTGTGCTGGCAGTTTTTCTATTATTTGACTGTTCTATTTGTGAGTTGACTTCATAGGTTTTTTTTTTCCCCAGATTTTGTTATACCAGACAAGATTGAATGATACTAACATATTTAGGATTTAAACAGTTCTGTTTTGTTTTTGCAGCAAACAGAAAGCTTAAGGGATGTCGACTTAAGGCTAGCTTTTGGGAGTCCATCAGATCTGGGTACTTTGATTTGTTTGTTGTTATAAACCATAGACACTGATCACATGCGTGTATGCTGAGATTGGTAATCTTAGATTGTTTCAGTTTTATCTGTTCCTGTGATCATTCTGTTAAGTATTATGTTAATCCCAAAGGATATTATGGGTTTTAGTCTAAATTTCATCCAAGCGAATGAGGCCTTCATCCAGCGGTAAAAAGGACTGGTTAAGGCTTTGGGACACCCTAGATACTGATCCCCATTCTTTTGTGTTTGTCGAATTCACTCTTCAATTATCTAATTTTTTCTCTCCTTAGCGGCTAGCTCAGGTTCACCATAGTACCAGTAGAACAAACACATTTGTCTCATTTCTCTAGTCTCATTGGAGAAAGCCTCTGCTTTGCTTCTTGTCCTAGGATTTTGAAGAACAACACAGCACAAATCATTGAACCACCCTCCACACTTGAGGAAGAGGAAGAACCATTGCCAGAAGAATTTGTGCTTGTTGAAAAGTCTCAACCAGATGGAGAAGTTGAACAAATAATATTCTCTTCCGGAGGAGATGTGGATGTCTATGAGCTTGAAGCCCTGTGTGATAAGGTAAGGATCTTTCTTAGGATGCTTGCAGAGAATGCCTCATGGAGTATGTATGCTGTCACAGTGATTGCAAGTGTATTGCCTTTAAGTAACGCCGTACTCTGCACCTGATTTGTAGATGTTGGATTTATTGACACCCATAATCTCATGTTTCAATAGGTTGGCTGGCCAAGGAGACCATTGTCAAAACTAGCTACAGCTTTAAAAAATAGTTACATGGTTGCCACATTGCATTCTGTTAGGAAATTGCCTAGTTCAGGTATGCGGTTAATGTTAAAATGCCTGCTATTTGATTTTAGTAATTCATGTTAATCTCTATTAACTATATTTCTATTCCTAAAACTATTGATAAATATCTTAGTGTACTTGGGGAAGTTCTTTGACAGAAGGGAATGAGCAAAAGAAGCTAATTGGCATGGCTCGTGCTACATCAGATCATGCGTTCAATGCTACAATATGGGATGTTCTTGTTGATCCTAGCTATCAGGTACTTGAGTGTGGAAAACATGATTGTCTTGTATGTAAAGGTTATCTTCCTGAGCAGAAAGCTCTATATGTACAGCACAATAGATCAGGATAGATCCTCAAAAATCTTAATAGTTAACTAGGAAGTCTTTGTAGATGAACTGTAATTCTCTGTTAAAATCAGTATAAGGTATTTGTGCTTTCTGGTTGAGGAGAGAAGGTATCTACTTATTACTGGAATACCTAATCTGGCATGATCTTGCCTTTGATGTGTAAAATAGAGAATTTGGCTGCCTTGGGACAAAGACCTTGGTATTAACCAACCAGCAACAGCTATTTAGATCAAATGAAGTCCAGATTGAATAGGTCTTGATCATCAAAACAATGTTCTTTTATTTTTTTAATTTGGGATATAAAAATTTTTTCAATGCTCTTAGTAGGATCTATAAGCCAAATGCTTGAATCCTCCCCACCCCCCCCCACCAAACACACACACTTCCTGGGAGAAAAAAAACTGTTTGATAATCTTCAGTATTGCTTTCTAAAGCATACACACAATGCAGGGCCAAGGCCTTGGTAAGGCCATGGTTGAAAAGCTGATAAGGCATCTTCTACAGAGGGATATTGGTAACATATCACTTTTTGCGGACAGTCAAGGTATGCTTAAATTTAACTTAATTGCCATGAAATTGAACTTCAAGTCCAATCTGAAAAGTTAAAACAGATTGGCTCTTCAATTACTGCTCAAAAGTTATGCCGCATATGTATATGTATGTAAGTTGTTGAATTGCTTCAAAATAATTGTGTTATACTTCATTGCAGTTGTGGAGTTCTATCGGAATTTAGGTTTTGAACCTGATCCAGAGGGCATTAAGGGTATGTTTTGGTATCCAGGGTATTAAAGAATCAGTTCATACTTCAATTAGGTGCTTTCATCATGGTGATTCATCTATTAGAGTTCACAGGGGCTTGGGACATAAGAGGAGGAGATCTGTATGTAAGTCTTAGTCATACTTTTTTCATTGTAACACTTTGTGCCGATGTTTTTTGTTACCAAGTGATTCATTTGCTATGGATTTGCAATACCAATTACATTAGGGGGGCATTTTTATCTAGTCTTTATCACTCGCTATTAGACCAGCTCAATGCATGAAGGGTTTTTTTAAAGCCTGTAAATTCATAATTTTAATAAATTAATTTTATTTTTATGTCAATAATTTTTATCATAATTTATACTATAAAAATTAAATTACTTGTCAATGAATATATTTTTTAATTTAATAATTTAATTATAATTGTAAGTGATGTTATGGAACCGTTTACTTTAGCATTTGGGATTTCTCTTCTCCAAATGAAGTCTTACTGCATCATAGAAAAAGACCTTAATTGAATGGTGAAACAATTAATCGAACGGATTTTTTAATACTACTCCATCAAAAGGAAAAATAAATGAGCAAATAAAGGACAATTGATGATGATGATGATGATTGGCTATATTAGAAAGAATAATTCTTGCCTAGGTGTAGGGTTATAATTCACTGACTCCGTCAGGATCACTCCCCAGTCCTACCTTCTTTTATGAGTTAATCGGACATTGAATATTACAGTTCACTGTTTCATAGTATTTCAATTTTCAAGGCTATTGGCTGTATATTGCAAAATGAAAAGGATTGTTGTCATATTCATTTTCATAGAAGAATTCCTTTGTCTATGCTGAATGCTGCTGCTGCTGCTGCTGCTGCTGCTGGCCTGCTTGTCTCACTCCCCCAGATGCCATTGATACTTGACATTATTTGCAAATTGTCATCACAACGAATCAGACAAGCAAAGGAATGGGAATGCAAAAGCCTGCCTGCCTTCTCTACTACTTGATTACAAAAATAACTGATTCCTTTTGCAGTATGGATTGATTCCAACTTTCGACTATGAATATCTGGGAATTCGTATCTTATTATGTAGTGTTTAGGAATCACCTTTTCCGATCTCTTCCGCTCCACTTATTTGTTCCTCACCATTAGATATAAAGCTAAAAAGTCTATTATTGTTCAACTTCCAATTACAGAATTGCCTTGCGTTATTACAATAATAGTAATAATAATAAAGAACAGAAGATGGTCACAAATGGGCCACAAGGTGGAGTTGACTTCAATTTCTCCATGCCCGCCTAGTGTTGAAAACTTCTAAATCTCAAGTATAACTGTCACGAGGAAAGACTTGAAGTATAATTTCAAGTATTGCACCTATATGAATTAAGATGTCTCTAAACTCCAATCTCTAAGCAAGCATTTAAATCTTAAAACACAAAGTCCTTGATTCTGAAAACCACATTTAAATCTTAAAATTTCCAACTTGGAAAGTTCCATTTTACCTACTCTTTTTACTTGCTATATTTGACAAGAATGTTCTACATTTACCACTCATAGGCCTGATGTAACTCCAACCCAAGAATTAAAAACGAAACAATAATTGTACTTAGATCAATTCACACCTAATAGATTAGGATTTTAAATCCACTACTTCCCCCTCGTATAGACATTTGCTCGCTTGGCACACTGAAGCTTGAAAGCCTTTTCCCCTTGGACAGCTATTGGAATGATACCAATTGGCACCTTCGCTACTAGTTGAATACCTCGTTTACACGCGCGCCAATGTTTTTCAGGGGAGTCTATCATGCAATCAAAAAAAATTGATCCTTTTGAGAAATCGATGTCTGCTTCTCTCCCTCATTATATATCCAATTTTCTGCATAATTAAACCGTCAAACTTCTCTTGAACTACAACCTCTTTTACATCTTGCCTTTGCATTGCATTGGGGTTTCATTTCATCATTCCTATGGCTCGTTAATGCATCTACATATGTTGTTGACTCTGTTCTTTTTGTTGCTCTTTTATTCATCAACACTATCTAGTTCTGATTCCTAGAAAGAATTGAGAGAAATGGAAAGAATGGATACTGTTCTGCTAATTAATTAGTAGTGCTGTGTTTGTTTCGTTTCCCTCCTTAAAAAATATTACACCAATATAATTTATGTGTCTTTTTGAATTGTTTTATGAAGTAATTTATTGATTTTTTTTTCTTTGTATAGATTTTAATGATGTTCTTTTCATTAATATATTTGCACTGATCATAAGAATGTTTTGCGTTGAACCTTTATGCTTGACTGATGGCAAAGGCAATATTAAGTATTGTTCTTGTTTTATGTTACTTTGCTCTTCTTGCTTCACCACAGGTTACTTCTCCATCGGAAGGTTGATTTTGTTTTGGTTTAAATCCTTTATTTTTGCTCATATTTTGTTAGTTCATAAGAAAAGCAAATGATATATTCTAGACACCATTTGGTACTTCATCATTTTCCAATGTTTATCATTTTTAAAATGATTTTTTTTTTGTGTTGAATTACAGTTGATGCACTGAATGTCATTAGGAGAAAACTCAAAGATCCAAAAAAAAATCTCAGAAATTGGAAAAAAGGTGATCCATGTACATCAAACTGGACTGGAGTAATCTGCCCACGAAGCAAGATGATGGTTATTTCCATGTTCAAGAATTGTATGCTTATTCATTTATTTACCGGCTGCTATTGATTATTTTTTTTTCTGCATTACCGATTGAACTAGTATTCTATATATCAGTAGTGGGGTGAAATGATTCCCAAAGCGGGTTTGATTCTTCACAAGTGGCGTTTAAGATAATAATCCTTAACAATGGTGAAATGCTAGACTTAAGATGGTCTATTTTACTGACACATCTTTCAAAATTATATCAGGGTAATGTTCTAGTAATGTTTTTTGCATGGTTTCTCCTGTGATGCAGGCGGATGCTAAATTTGAATCTTTCCGGAAATCTTACTCCTGAACTTGGCCAACTATCTAATTTAACTATATTGTAAGTGGTATCAGGTCAACACCTAAGTTTTGGGTTGATCTTGGTGGAGATATTAAGTCTTCATCTATGTCTGTCATTGAGCTATCGTCAAATTCTTGCATCACCATCAATAACTTATTGTTTCTGTTCGTTCCTTTTGGGCAGGAATTTTATGTGGAACAATATTACTGGCAGTATACCAAAGGAGATAGGCAATATAAAATCATTGAAATACCTGTAAGTAATTCATATTTAGAAACTAACAAAAGGCATTTTTTCCTATAAAAAACTTTATCTGTGGTATTACTTCCTTGCCAACTGCTGTGACAAATTTCTAGCTTTTTCTCTTGTTTTATAGATTGGAAACAAAATTTGTGCTTAGCAAGACAAAATGCTTCCGCTGTCAAAACATGTGTAAAGGCAGTTTTGATATGTTTGGAATTCCAGATGTTTCTTTTTACCGATAAAATACAAAGAAAATGATGATACATAATCAATTAAAGGATGGAAGAATTTACAGATTGACTACATATTTTTCCTGTACAAGTTGAAGTTTATGATGCATGATGCACAAATATTGGCAGATGGGAATACCTATATCCACATTATTTGGAGAGAAAGAAAATTCATGCTTCATCAACATCCTTGTCAGACAAATACTAAAGTTTTCAAGCTAATAGTTGATTCTGTTCAATGTAAAGTTTCTGGTTTCAACTGGATCATAGATTCTCCTAGGAACAGAAATTTGCTTATTAAACGTAGGATTAGTCAGCAGGTTTTTTGGTTCTCAATTTTTGTTTCCATGTTTTGGCTGTCATCCCAAAAAAAAAAAAGAAAACAAAAAACAAAATCAAAAGAAAAGAGAGGGTGCTGGCAGATGGTGACTGGTATGGATTAGAAGGTTGATTAGAATACCATAGACTTTGTATGGATACGATTTCTAAAGTTTATAACTAAAGCTCATAATAAGTTAATTACACTGTGGGACATATTAATTAGAAACAGAACTTTCAAAAACTAGTTTGCATTTTTCTTCTTTAAGTTTAATACTACTTTGTGAGGCTTAGTCCTATTTCTAAATTTTCTTAAATTGTTTACTTTGTGCAAGTAACTTCAGATTGGATTCTGTGATTTCATCTATCATCTGATTGCAGATAGATACGGTTACATAATCACTAGGAAATAGTTCCTGATTTGTTCTCTCTTTTTTTTTTTTTTTTTTTTTTTCCAGTTTTTCTTTATAATTTTGACACGTTGTAACGACGGAGCAAGAGATTTTTTGTTAAAGATACGACTTCAAGTAAATGATTGCAGAAAGCTTACACCAGTACTCATGGTTGCAGGTTTTTAAGTGGAAATCAGCTTTCAGGATCTTTAGCGGACGAACTTGGTTATTTGCCTAACTTAATAATGTTTCAGATAGATTTGAATCAGATATCAGGATCACTGCCCAAATCTTTTGTGAATCTGGTCAGATGCAAGCATTTGTGAGTAAATAATACTAAATTAAATGCTTCTATATTAGGAAGTAATTGCATTAATAATCTTTTTTGAGCATTTTGTTAACTACAGTCACATGAGCAACAACTCAATCAGTGGGCAGATTCCACCGGAGCTCTCCAACATGCCTCAACTTCAACACTTGTAAGCTCACTAATAATTTCTATTCTTGTGTTTGTCACTAATTTTAGAAACTTATAATCATCTTATAACCATGGATGTGCAGCCTGTTGGACAACAATAACTTATCGGGCTATCTATCACCAGAACTTTCACAGATGCCAAGCTTGAAAATACTGTATGTGTGCTTTTCCTTTTAAGTATTCTTATGCACTACTATTAGATTAATTCTCTTCTACCGGGGTACAAAATATCATGGTTTTGGGTGCTGGTTCCTGGTCAATTCCTTTTGTATCTTGCTGCTATTAGATGAAGCATATCAGCAATTTAGTTCATAATTAACTAATAGTATCATGTAAATGCAAAGTAAAGGATCCCATATTTTTGTTTGTTGCTGGACAGTACTATTACTGTTTCTATCCTACATGCCTTTGATACATCCAAACAAACTAAAGCCTTTGATGCAGTGAAGCATCTCTATTAATCTATTTTCTTGTGAAATGAATTAACCTGTGCAATTTTACTGATCATTAGTTGAAGGGTTATTGAACAGCTTCCCGTCCGGTGTGAGACACTCTTTCCGAAAGTTCTTCCATCTTAATGCTGTCTATTGAAATAAATATGGTTTCCTTGAATGGAATTATGATAATTCTCATATGTTTCTTTTTATTGTAGCCAACTTGATAATAACAATTTTGGTGAAAATCAGATTCCTGCTTCTCACGGTAACATGGCCAACCTGGTAAAATTGTCAGTTTCTTTCTCTCCCTCTCAACTGACTTTCAGTTTAGTCATGGTTTTCATATCAAAGCATACCGTCAAACATGTTCAGATTGGGGAGAACTGAAAGTATATGAAGAATGGTCAAATGTTCAGAGTTGTAGCAAGGGCTTTTATGGTCTTATGTCTTCACCATTCTTTTACAGTTTCTCTCTTTAAATTTATACTGTTCCTCAAACTGCTATTCCATTCATCTCAACAGAAGTCTTAGGAACTGCAACTTGCAAGGAGCTATTCCTGATTTCAGTAGTACACCACTTCGTTTTCCGTAAGTCTTTGAGCACTTTTTAAGAGTGTTCTATTGCTTTTGTTTGTAATATTTCTGCATGTGTGCTGATATTTTTACCAGTAATTCTGTTCTATATTTTTTATATCAAGCTTGTCATACTGAGATAATGCTAATTTGTGAATTTGATATGTGAGTATTGATGTTTTCCTGTACGCAAATGGTTTAAGCAATACAACCACCGTTTTTTGCAGATTAACAAATTTAACTGTATCTCACTTCTTTGTGTTGTCCATATTCCAGTGATCTGAGACATAACCAACTTACAGGAGGGATCCCAACAAATAAGCTTTCTGATAATATCACAACTATGTAAGGGTTGCTCATGTACAAAGTCATCAAAACTCAATTCTCTCTCTCTCTCTCACTCTTTGACACACGCACACAAAAAAATTTTAGCTGCTGGTACCTTTATATGAATTTTCCTTTGATTTGTTATGCTAAAACGAGTCATTATTGTTTTTGTTCTTTAAATGGGGCAGTGATCTATCCTATAATTTGCTGAATGGATCTATCCCTTCAAATTTTTCTGGCCTTCCTAATCTTCAGAGATTGTAAGAATTATTCTTCACTTTTTGTTGCCAATTTCCTTTGCAGAAATTTTATATTGCATGTTTCAGCAATGTTGATTGATTGCTTTTATAGTGGTTTTTGAAAATGTTTGAGAAACTATCTTACTCAAGTCGAATGATATTATGACCAATGGACTTAACGAAGCTAACCTTTTGTTGCAGGTCAGTGGAAAACAATTCGTTAAGTGGAGATGTTCCCTCCAATGTTTGGCAAAATGTGAATTTTACTGCTAAAGCAACACTTCTCATGTAAGTCATTAGGGCAGAAAGCTATCATTTTGAGCTGCATGCATTTATTGCAAAAAGGTTTCTTAAAGAAACAGGAAAGTAGGATATTGTTGAGATACATATGATATATTTTCTGCTATTGAGATTAATTACGTCCAGCTAGTTGGAGGAATTGCTGGACTTGCCTGGTTCATGATAACATATATACCTGACCCTCTGTGCACATGCTTTACTTGCAGAGATTTACGGAATAATTTGCTTTCAAATATTTCTGGCAGTATAGATCCTCCTTCAAATGTTATAATTAGGTGAGCCTTGTTTGATATTTATTTCTGCATATGAAAAAGTATGTAATATACTTTAACATAACAGTTGCAAAATACTTTGATAATCTCTGATTAGTGCTTCCTGGATACTTAGGCTTGAGGGCAATCCTATCTGTGTCTCAGCAAATCAACTAAACATAGCCCATTTCTGTGGAATTACAATTGGAGATGATTATTCTGTGCCTGGAAGCTCAAATAACTCTACTGACATCTGCCTACCTCAAATTTGTCCAGTTAGTGAGAACTGTGAATATGTCCCAGAATCTCCTGTTGGCTTCTGTGCTATACCTCTTCTAGTTTGGTTACTTTTAAGAAGTCCTACCATATTAGATTTTCGACCATATATTGATGCATATAAGGAGCTCATAACAACCAGTCTTGGCTTGGATTTTTATCAACTATTTGTGGAATCATTTATATGGCAAACGGGGTTCTAGGCTACGGCTGAGTTTAAAATTTTTCCCTCAATACACCAGTAGGAAGCATAAATTCAACCCATATGAGATACAAATGATCATTGACATGATTGCTACATTTTCAATCCCTCCGAATGACACCTTTGGTCCATATGAGCTGATCACTTTTTGTCCTCCACATTATTCAAATGGTATCTTTACTATGTCTTTCCTTTCTTGTTCTTTTTTCTTTTTCAACCAAGCATCTAATTTTTCCTTTACAAATTTCATTTTTCTTTTTTATTATAGTTATAAATGACTCCTATCCTTTTTCCATTTTTTTTTAAAGGAACGTCTGACCAAACCAGCTAATTAAAATTGTTAGTCTAATTTTAGGCATGTGCATAAATGCTTTTGTCATTTGCTCTTCCCTTCCCAGTGCTAACCCTCTGATTAATACATAGTCTAGTAGATTGTATGTTGAACAAGGTGCTCCAGTAGTTTCAACTACTCTAATTTCTTTAGTGGAAATTAGCTTGATGATTCTTGTTATTGCTGTGAAATCAGGAATAATTAAAGGTGTCTTAATAGGAATAATCATAGTGGCCACATTTGTACTTGCACTATCTTTGGTTATTATGGTCCTCTTCTATAAAAGGCGCACCAGTTTCGGGCAGGAAATGTTAAAAAAACAGTCAAGTAAGTGTACATATAATTTCTCAATCGCCAGGCCTGGATATCATCTCTTGTTTACCATATATAACGGCAATGATCCTTGTTCCTTTTTTATTCCCACTGCAGCTTCAAAAGTTCCATTCAGAACTGAACGTGTTAAGGAATTCAGCTTTGTAGAACTTGAAGCAGCTACAAGCGGTTTCAAAGATACCTCTCAAGTTGGTCAAGGAGGCTATGGAAAGGTTTACAGAGGCATTTTGGCTAATGGAACAGTAGTGGCAATTAAGCGTGCCCGACAAGGATCTTTGCAGGGTCAGATAGAGTTCATAACTGAAATAGAACTGCTGTCACGATTACATCATCGGAACCTGGTTATTTTGGTTGGATACTGTAGCGAACAAGGCGAGCAGGTGCAGTCATTGCATTCCGTGCCATTTCTTGGAAAAGTATGATATAACAAACTAAATTAACTGAACACAAGGGGAACGAAGATTTAGCAAGAAAAGAAAAAAAAAAAAGCCATCCGTCACCGAAAATCATGAGAAAAGCCTATGTATAGATACCTAAGCCATCGAAATTTCACTTGAGCGCAATACATTTTATCTGATAAATGTAGGATCTTGGTGCAGACCTGCTGATATGCTATATATTTTAAGCTTTATTTGCACATTTTTAATTGGATAAATCTTTCCTACTACATTTCAAGGCTGCAATAAACTTGGATATTCCCTTAGGAACCCTTTAATGCTCCTTTGATTATATTGGCTGATTATGCATGTCTTAGACATGGTGAATTTATTTCCCCATTGTATGAAAAGATACCAATTCAGCTTAAATCAGATGCATCTAATATTTGCATAGAAAAAGAAAGATAATGTTTGGCATTTTTCTTTGCAGATGTTAGTGTACGAGTTTATGCCCAACGGTTCTCTCCATGATCTTCTCTCAGGTAAATTTGTCATGTTTTTCTGATGTTAAGGGCTCAGTTGTATCAAGTAGAGGTTTTTACTTTTCAGAATGAAACTATTGATGCCAAATAAAGCAATACTTTTCCTTTGGCTAAACTGTACATGTGGTTTCTTTCAAACGTATAATTTCTGAAAATCCTGGCCATTTTTCTAATTCCACATGCTGTTTGACTTCGTCTTGATATTTGTCTGGTTCCTTCAAGATGAAAATCTACCAAAATTATTTTCCAGTTCACTGATTTTGACAGTTAATGTATATTGTTGCAAAATTTTACATTGTTTTAAGTGAACCAATCACAGATAGATACAGACATACCTTGAGTTTCTCCATGCGATTGCGTATTGCATTGGGTTCAGCCAAAGGCATCCTCTACCTTCATACTGAAGCTGATCCGCCGATCATTCATCGGGATATCAAGGCAAACAACATTTTGTTGGACTTCAAGTTTACCCCTAAAGTCTCTGATTTTGGAATCTCAAGGCTTGCACCAGTACCAGATGTTGAAGGAGCTTCAGCTCATGTATCCACAGTTGTGAAAGGCACACCAGTAAGATATTTGTGATAAATATATCACGTTTCCACAAGCAAACTAGCATAGCTTAGTTCTACACTCACACCAGGGATAGGGATTTAATTTTTCCCCAAGAACAGAAACCTTGAACTTTATCTGCCAATTTCTGAGCGACCTGGAACTCGTATATTGGTTTGAGCTGCAGTTAAAAATATATTTTATACACATCATTTTTGAGAAATGTTACAGCTGTAATTTGATGCATGAGTTCTTGCTTGCAGTGGAATGTTATCATGAAATTCACTTCCATTTTGTATTCTATATAGGGCTACCTGGATCCAGAATATTTCTTGATTCACAAGTTGACAGAGAAAAGTGATGTCTATAGCCTTGGAATAGTGTTTCTGGAGCTTTTGACAGGGATGCGGCCTATCTCTCATGGCAGAAACATTGTTCGAGAGGTACTAATTGCTAAGCTTCTTTATCTTTCTGCCACAAGCACTTTATTCAGTTTTCCTGGAAGATTTTTCTTCCCTTCCCCCCCCCCCCTCCGGGGAAAAAAGAAAAAACAGTTAATCTCTACACTATATCAAGTCTGTAATGTAAATAATTATACTTGTGAATATAGGATTGATTTTGTATCTCTAAATTCATCACAACATTCTTAATTGAACAAAACAGTTAGAAACACCGTGATGCTATTATTAAGTCGAAAATCTTCTACTGTGGAATTTTCTCATTGGTAAATAAACATATTGTGGCAAGCAATCTGGAAATCTAGAACCCTTCTTTTCTTTAGTGAAATCATAAGTAAACACTTACTGCAGGTTTATGGAGCTTGTCAATCAGGATTGATGTTTTCCATCATAGACCAGAGAATGGGTTCATACTCTTATGAAAGTATCAAGAAATTTATGGCACTGGCGCTGAAGTGTTGCCAGGATGATCCCAAGGAACGACCAACAATGTTGGAAATTGTGAGAGAGTTAGAGAACTTATGCTTACTGCTTCCGGAGCCTGATATGATTCCAATAGAGCCAGATGCATCCACTTCCGAATGGTCAGGGGTTGGCTCATCGCTTCTCAACTCTGGAAGGAAATCCAAATTAAGGACCACTGAAATCTTAGGAAGTGAACTTGTCAGCGGTGAAATCCCCACCATCAGAGCTCGCTGATACTCAATGCAGGAATCAAATGTGGTCTTATCAGTTAATCATGATGAAATTAAGTTCATAATGTTGAATATTAGGAAAACAAATGGCTGCTAAGTTTATTATCTTTGTACGGCTTTGTTTTTACACATAAGAACTGGAAAATAAAATAAACATAGAATATCATGTTAATAATGAAGACAGTATTTTGGATTGATGATGCAAAAATCGATGTGTGCATGAGATAGTACAGATACTATGAATCCGACAGATAGCCCCTTCAACGTGTCTTATCATATGTCAACTTCCTTTTGTATCTCTCTCGATCAACAAGTTGATGATTTGATAACAAAGTCAACTAGTTGATCACATTCACAACCCCTTGCACTAAAAATGCCATCGTGAATCCACAACGAACTTCAAACCACGTGCACCGACTAAAGGCAACTTTTTAATAAATGCATCTACATATATTGCTGACTCTGTTCTTTCTGTTGCACTGAGGTTCATTAACACTAGAATTGAGAGAAATGGAAAGAATGGCATGCATTTCACTCATTTTATTTAACTATTCTGCTAATTAATTAGTAGTGTTGTGTTTGTTTCATTTTCTTCTTAAAAAAATATTAATGTATTTGTCTTTTTGAATTGTTTTATGAAGTAATTTATTGTTTTTTTTTCTTTGTATAGATTTTAATGATGTTCTTTTCATTAATATATTTGTACTGATCATAAGAATGTTTTGTGTTGAACCTTTATGTTTGACAGATGGCAAAGGCAATACTAAGTATTGTTCTTGTTTCATGTTACTTTGTTCTTCTTACTTCACCACAGTTTACTTCTCCGTCGGAAGGTTGATTTTGTTTTGGTTTAAATCCTTTATTTTTGCTCATATTTTGTTAGTGAAGAAATCTGTAGAATAAAATTATTTAATTTTTCTATATTTTTCTTATTATAATGCTAGAATTGCATGAAAATATAAGTTAAAGGCTGAATATTTTCAGTTTTAAAATTGAAGATTTTCATGTATTAAAACAATTAATCAAATGAGTAATTTACTTTGTACTCCTAATAAAAAAAATCTAATAGATTTGGTATAATTATCCAATTCACTCCTTATTCTAAAAATATGATATTTAACTAAAATAAACAAAGTCAATTAATCAAGTAATAATAAACATTAGATTTTCACACTCCCCCTCAAACTAGGTGGTAGATGTCAATTATACTCAGCTTGGACTTTAAATTCTCAAAGTTGTTTTGAGAAAGAGTCTTAATGAGTATATTTGCAGTTTGAAGGCATGTCGGAGTATAAACTAATATAATAATTCTTTCTTCTATCTTTTTTTTGATGAAGTGATGATCAATCTCTACACTTTTAGTGCTATCATGATGAATAAGATTCTTTGCTATACTTAAGGTAGCTTTGTTGTTACAGAATATTTTCATGAATTCTTCCGCAAAGACCTTTAACTCCCCTAGTAATATTTTCAGCCAAATTCCTTCACATATAACATGAGACATAGCTCTAAACTCAGCTTCTGCACTACTTCTAGCCACCACAGATTGCTTTTTATTTCACCAAATTTCATGAATTCTTCTACAAAGACCTTTAACTCCCCTAGTAATATTTTTAGCCAAATTCCTTCACATATAACATGAGACATAGCTCTAAACTCAGCTTCTGCACTACTTCTAGCCACCACAGATTGCTTCTTATTTCACCAAATAACCAAAATTTCCCACATATAAGTACAATAACTAGTAGTTAATCTTTGATTAATAACAGATCTAGCCCAATAAGTATCAGTGTAAATTTCAACGTGATATCTTCTTAAAAAATAATCTTTTACCATGACTTTTCTTTAGGTACTATAAGATTGGATACATAGCTTTCGAGTGTTCTTCAGTTGGGTTATTCATGAATTTGCTTACTAAGCTAACTGAAAAACCAATATCTAATCTTGTATGAGAGATAGAGATGAGTTTTCTAACAAGCCTTTGATATTTGCCCTTGTTAGTTGATGGACTTCCTTTTTTCATTCCTACCTTATTCATTGTGTCTATAGAGGTGTCAGAAGGTTTGCATCCAAGCATTCTAGTTTTCTTTAGTAAGTACAAGACATACTTACGCTGTGAAACAAATATGCCATTCTTTAAGCAAACTACCTCTATGCCAAGAAAATATTTGAGGTGTCTCAAATCTTTGATTTCAAATTCTTTAGCTAGGAGGTTCTTTAGGTTGCTAATTTTTTCTACATAGTCTCCAGTAAGAATAATGTCATTCATATAAACAATAAGATTGGCTATTTTTTCTTCAGGTGAATGTTTGACAAAGATGGTGTGATTGGTCTAGTATTGTGAAAAATCATACTTTTTTTACCATTTTTGTTAGTCTATCAAACTATGCATGTGAGGATTATTTGAGACTATATAAAGATTTTTGAAGCTTACATATCTTGCTAGAATTAACCTGGTTTTTGAATCCTAAAGGGATTTTCATGTGAACTTCTTTTTCTAGGTCTCCATTAAGAAATGCATTTTGGACATTTAGTTGGTAGAGTGACTAATCTAGATTTGCTGCTAATGATAATAATACCCTAATTGAATTAAGTTTAGTAACTGAAGCAAATGTTTCCTCATAGTTAATACCATAAGATTGAGTAAATCATTTTGCAACAAGGTAAACTTTGAATCTATTAATACTTCTATCTGCATTATGCTTGACAGTAAAAATCCATTTACACCAAACTAGATTTTTCTCTTTGGATAGTTCTAAAATCTCTTATGTTTTGTTCTTTTCTAGGGCCTTGATTTCTTCTAAAATAGTTATATTTCATTTTGGTAGCATGAGTGCTTCATGAATATTATTGAGAATTTGTATATTGTTTAGTGTGGTAATAAAAGTTGGATAACTGGGTGATAAACCTCTATAAGAAACTATATTACAAAATAGGTTTTGAGTACATGATTTCACACTTTTTCTTAAAGTAATCAATTGATCAAGATCATCAAAAGATTTAATTGCATCAGATTCAGTAAAAGTGTTACCTGTGCTGGTTTCAAGTATCTCTGGTATTAGTTTAGATTCTTGATTTTGCTTTGAAGGTGTACATCCTCCTAGATCCTTATGAGTTTTATGTCTTCTTGAATAGATAATCAATTCTTTGTTTGTTTTCCCTTATGTAGACTTTAGGCTTGGAGGATCTGGTTGGATGTTTTGAACTTGAAAGGAAGTTGAAGGATTTCATTAATATTTTGGATGTGAAAGAGAGTTTGAGAAGTGTTTGGTGGTTTGGTAATAGGATCTTCCCAAAGTTGATATTTCCTTGTGATTGGATTTTCCCCCTAAATGACAATTTTGGAAAAATATGGTTGATTTTCAAAAAAGGTAATATTCATGGAATGATAAAATTTCTTTGTTATTGGTGAGTAATACTTGTATCCTTTTTTATTCAGGGAGTATCCAAGAAATATGCATTTGATGAAATTGGGGTCTAAGTTGCTTTGGTTTTGTTGGCTAGTAAGAACAAATCAGTGCATCCAAACACTTTAATGGAGTAGACAAGATTATCTGAATGTGATGATAGGAACTGAAAAGGGATTGGCAAAGGTTTTGAAATTTTAGAACTAAGGCATTCTATTTATTAGATATGTAGCAATAAGAATAGCCTCACCCCAAAAATACTTAGGTACATGGGCAGCCTTCATGAAGGATCTTGAATTTCCAACAAATGTCGATTCTTTCTTTCAGCAATACCATTCTACTGAAAAGTGTCAACACATGAGCTTTGATGAATTATACCATGCTTCATCAGATATGATCCAAGAATTGAATTGTAATATTCTCCCCCATTGTTGGTTTTCAACACTTGGATTTTGGTTTTGAATTAATTTTGGATCATATTGTTGAAGTTTTGGAATAGTTGGCTCACTCTCGATTTTTTCTTCATAAAGAATACCCAAGTAACCTTGGTGCAATCATCAATAAATGTGCCAAATCATTTAGAGCTAGCAATATTATTTACTCTAGAGGGACCTTAAATGTCATTATGTATCATTGAAAATGGATGAGATGATTTGTAAAGCTAATTAGAATATGTGGTATGAGTATGTTTGGATTGTAATTGAATAATGAGGGAAACAACCTTTTGAGGTATAAAAAATTTGGATGACCTAATCAATAGTGCTACAACATTATATTATTATTTTATTATTACTGAAGGATGAAACCACACAAGAGGTCTTTTGATATTGTTTTTTTAGAATCATTAGCTTTTGGGATGTCACGTCCCTAGACCAAGATGCAATTCAATCATATTACCTTGAAGTAAAATCACAAAATAATACGAAGCTTTCTTTCTTAATCATTGAACAACTCTCAAATAAAATAAGGTTCTCAATAAGTAAAATATCTATATAACAAGTCTTCAAAGGTTTAATGTTGAGTATTACAACTAAAAGAAATAATACTTCATAAATCTTATTCTCTAAGTAGTTCTTCAGTGTTTAGATTCTTCTAGCTTTTCATAAGACCAATCATATTTAACATTCATATCATCTGTAAAAGAAAAGAAATGAAAAATAAGCAAGTCACAGCTCAGCAAGTATAGGCTCACACACCTTATCGGATCAAAAATCATTTTTATATATATCATATAGAGTGTTCAAAATAGTCATCAAATCATAATGTCAAAACATTTCAAGATCATCGTTTTGTCAAATATTTCGTAAATTCATAAATTAATGTCAAAATATATCAATTTATCAATTATAAATCACAAATCACGGTCAAATACATATTTCATACAAATCATAGATCAATGGTTAAAATCTTCATAAATCATCATCATCATAAATTATCATTATCATTCATTTATCGTTAGCTACAATCATTGCTATAACTCGTGACATTAGCCGTATCGATAATTTTATCATCATGAACATTGCTAATTATTATAACCTGCTAGCTAAGGCCTTACGCTATCTACTATTACCCGTTAACAGAGTCGTATGATCATGTCTTTATTAACTACTATTACCCATTAGCCAGGGTCTTAAAATTAGTTCTAGTATCGATGATCTCACTTCTCATGGATGTAAAAACATAGCTATCATAAAATCATTCTTTAAATATAAATCATTTTCCCATTTCATTCATAAGCATGATCCATAATTTACATAGCAAAAACACAAAATAATTATATGTTTG